AAAAAAACTGTTGGTATATATATATATATATATATATATATATATATATATATATATATATATATATATATATATATTGTGTGTGTCAGTGGGTATAGAAAGGAATCACCCCCTTTAAAATAATCACATTTTGTTGCTTTGCAGCCTGAAGTGAAGACAAACACAGTTTTTGTTTTATGCAGCTGTATTTCATATCTTTCATCCAAGTGAAAGATATAACACCAACATTTCAGAAAAAAACAAAAACATCGAGTTGGAAAAAGGATCGCCCCCCTCCTAAAAATTATTTGTAGCAATCAGTTGTAGCAAATCACATTCTCAGTGGCACACAAAGACATTTGACTTTCAACTGTGATCAGCTGTGGTAATTTTGATTAGTTCAGCATGAAAATAGCTTTTACTGCAGCATTTCAGTCCTTGGTAGAGCAACTGAAGCAAACTATCAACTATGGATGGCAAGACCCTAGCAAAAGATCTCCAGGATAAAGCTGTGGACAGGCACAAGTCAGTAGATGGATACAAAACAATTGCAAAGGCTTTATCAGTGACTAGAAGCACAATGAAGTCTGTTATGAAGAAGTGTAAGGTATTTGGTACAACACAGACCCTCCCTGAATCAGGACGTCGCTCCAAACTGGATGAAAGAGCCGGAGGAAACTGGTCAGAGAGGCAACCAAGAGACCTACAGCATCTGTGAAGCAGCTGCGCTGTGTCCTATTTCATCAGATGTGTTTTTTAAACTCATTGCTCAAAGTAAGATAGACAGATACCTCACGCAACGCTTTGAAAATGTCATGACGAAACAATGCTCTTGTTGTATAAATGGATATTTCAAGATAGCAGTGGGCTGGACTGATATAATCTGTGGAAACAAAATGAATGGTGCATGGTTTAAAATAATACTGATCCCAAAAATAGATATTTAATGGCCAGACAGATAGAAATATTTCATTTGATAAGGGTAATTGCATCACCCTGTTTTGAGTTTTTATAAAATCAAACAAATATAATCATAACAAACCCCAATTATTGGAACAATACATTATTAACTGAAAAGCGTTACATAATACCATGCATTATTAGAATGAGGCAGTGGTATCTTATCCAGAAGTTTTTTACGAATCATTGTAACATCTCAACAAGCTGCACAAACAAAAATTCGTCCCTAATTCTACAGTAGTTTGTGTGGATTAGAAGAACATTAGAAAATGATAATAATAATAAATAAATAAACAATAATAATAATAATAATTCAACATCAGACAAGTGAGCTATTCACCCCACAGAAAATACATACACACCTTGCAGTCTGTGAATACAATCTTTTTCAAGTAAGTAGCAGCTGATAGCCGATCTTGCTGCTGTTTTTTTTATCCAAAGTGATATTTTATGCAAAGCTTTGCTGCAGTCCACATGGAGCAGAAAATATAAGAGGGCATACATCGACTTCTACATATGTGATGGGATCCTGATCTCTACGGGCTATGTACTTTGTAAGGTGTTGTTGTGAATAACAGAGATACTCCCCAGACTGGTTTGTATGATCTGAACCAGTTACTGTCAACTGTTTGAGATCGTATGTGAAGACAGTTATTCACAAAGGTTTCACTTTAGTTTTTCAGATTTCCATGCAAGCATGACACATTATAACATTTCACAACTTTACATTTTGGTTGCAGATAAATTACACTGCAGTACAACAATAATATTAATTAAAAAAAACTACTTTAATATGTTAATGTTGGAATTTAACATTGATTTTTTTTTATCACATTTGCACCTTGAAATAAGGTTATTTCAAGAATAAAAAGTAGATAACCATGGAGATGAAATCAATCTTTGTTCAAATTAGATCACTTATTTTACTTTGAAGCAACATTAGATCTACTTTTCTTTATGTACAGCAGGATTCGATGACAGTAAATCATGTCTGCTTTGACTTCTTTCAATCAGAGACCATGTAGGGCTGCAATTAACATGGCTTTAAACTAAAAAGTCCAAAATCGCTTATTAAACAACTCCAAAACCAGCATTACCATCTTCACTTATAAACCAATTTGACTTTATTATACGTCTACAAAAGTTCTTACTGAGATTAACAGAGGTTTAGATGTTGATGTTTTAATGAAAATAATAATTAATTTTGAAGTCACCGTTATGGTGGTTGGTGTTTGCTTTAGTTAGCATCTTGACCCTTCACTTCTTATGTCAGTTTTTCTTTTGATCTTGTATGTTTATAAAACACAATTATGGCAAAAAAAAACAAACAAAAAAAACCTGTGAGAGCAGTGCATTGATCCTACTCATGGTCTGATTTCTACTGCACTCTCAGGAAAAATTAGAAAAGCTGTCACTGGAGCATCATCTTTCTAAAATGTATCACACTATACTAATCATCTGTGAGTAGTGACGTATATCTGATGCAAAATAAGCTACTACTACTGTATCTCCTGCTTCAAATTAAATACTTTGCAGTCCTGGTGCAACAGAATATTCACACACATATACCAGGATACTGAGCACTTCTAGAAGCAATGATGATTAGAGTAAAGGTTAGAACGATTCCAAGGGCCCGACGAGGGAAAGGGGGACTGCAACGGTGTTTATTAAACACATTCGATATGGCAAAACAAGTCAAGAAAAACTGTGATAAGCTGATAACTATGTGTTGGTATCAATCTTTGTGAGCTTCAAGGAAAATTAATTTTCAGTGATCCCATTCATGGTCTGATTTCTACTACCACTGTGAGACTACAGTAAGAAGACCAGAGAATCAGCTATAATTTTTTACTCACACACACACACGCAGGCATGCACCATTAAGACAAAGACATTAATAATATGAGCATATGAATCTCAAAAACGGTGACAATCAACAACAATAACAAATACGAACTGTTGCACACATCCGGTTTTGTTTTTCACCCAGGTAAGTTTGAGCAAACTCTGATACATTACAACAATACGCAAGCGACCGGAGCAAACTTAATGGAACAACTTGTAAGTAAATCAAAACAACTGTGAAAATGTCTTATTTGCTTTTTGAGTGTTGTAAGAATATCATGATAAAGGAATGTTTTCATTTTTGGGAAACGCTGTTTTACACAGCGCTGTAAAGTGTGGCATTTCCCTGGCCTAGTGCTTTTGAATGCGCATTCTGAATGCTATTTTAGCGTTACTGCTTATAGTATAATGTTAACATCAAAGAAGGGCACTAATGTTAATGTTAGCCGGCATGTTTTCAGTAAACGCAGTCCTAACGTACGTTTTGAATGTTGCTGCGGTTAACTGCAATGTTTAAGGCTGCGTTTCTCAAAAGCATCATGAGCTAAGTCGATTGTTGAGACCATTTGGTGGCAAATGTTTCTACGATCATCTTAGCCATACAATGCTTTTTTTGGAAATTGCCCTGGTAAATGTGATTTTTATTTGGTCTGTTTTTAAACAACTAGCTGCTAAGAGTATTAATCCAAAATTAGGTTAAAGCTAATACACAGACATGGATTTTGCAATTATATTTATTTTACAAAAGCAATCTGCAAACGTTTGTAAACCTTTACAAACTTTCTTTAATCGCAGGCTGAGCTGGATGCTGAATAAAAAAGAGTGAGCCTCAACACTTAAGGTAACTTCTATTCAGTTGAAGAGCAAGTTGTGTGATGGGTCCTCACATAACAGGACACAGACTCGGCTTTCTCTTTTCTACATCCATTGTTGGTTATACACTTACTTTTGCATGTTTGTGGTTTTCTAGGTTTGTGCTGAGTTTCACCATATCAGAGAAAGTGGCACACACCAGCAAGATTTCACAGATGCTGCATGACATTCGAAATGTTTGATCTTCAGGTGAGTGCAAATTCACAAACACTAACTACCTCCATCACTGTCTTCATTGTATATAAAATAAAGTTGGCCTGCTTGTTTAACATTTACATGTCAACATACTCTCCCAGTGTACGTGTGTGAGGAGAACTGTTCTTCAGGACATGACATGTAAGTATTAAGTGCATTAATAGATCTGAAATAGAGTGGGGGAACTGACGTCAGAACCAGGAATTGTAATTCGCCGCGAGTTCCTTTGAGATTTTCCAATGGTTTTTTTTCAATTTATGAATAAAATAAAGCCTGTGGTAAAACTTGACAATACTTCTACATTTTGTTCTACATTATAAATGGCACACACTCACAGCCTAAACCTTCTTATCTAGCTACTTATTAAAAACATACGTTTTCAAAAATGAACATAACTGCTAAAAAAATTGTATTTTGGGTATGGATGTGTGTAATTTACATAGTACAACAAAATGTAAAAGTATCGTCAAGTTATGTTTACCACAGGCTTTATTTTAATTGAAAAACCCCATTATAAAACCCCATAGGAAAACCTAGAAGGAACACACGGTGAATTACTCTTCAGGGTTCTGACGGTATAGTTCCCCCACTCTATTGGCAGTAAATATAAATGTCTACTTTTATTCTCTGAAGTTAAAGTTAAAGTTTTACCCTCTGTGCTTATTCCAGGAGGAATTGGGTGTGCCAGACATCACTGACACAAACACCTCTTCTGCTGATTTTGTTATCATGGACAACGAAACCACTACAAATCCTGCAAGCACTGCAGTTGTGATGAGATGATCTTCCAGTGTTTGA